CTCTCTGTAGCAGATGCCAAGATATTCCCCCCCGACCTCATCTGGGCAGGTGTGGCCATGAACAAAAACAACTGGAAACAGGAACAGTGATTTACTGGGAGAGCAAAACTGCAACAGTTTTGGACACTTCATTTTCCAAGTTCTAACTTGACTCTGTCTATTTAATACTAGGGAATGATCAGATAAGAACTTGAGTGACCATTTTGATCAGGACAGGGTGAAATCACTGCAATCTAGACACGTCAAGATCTTCAGCCCATCAGGCTTTCTTTGAGGTGTCATCCAACTCCCATTGACGTCAGCAAAAGATCCCTATCTAAAGCCTAAAGAAACCAGGAACAAGGATGGTCTTCAAAGCAAACTGGTTGCTGATGCCATGCTTTGGTGTTCTTTACAAATGAGACAAAAAGATTTCACGATTTATACAACCCAGCTGGTTGAAAAGCAGTGTGGGGGGAGGAGGCCTTTTGGCTTCAAACACAGTGGTGAGAAACTCACATGGCACTTCTGCTGTTAAACAGGACAATATTTACCTGGTTTTTAATAACCAAAATCAAACTAATGCCTCGAGGAAACTTTGCAAAATGTACAATTTATTTAAATGCCACTTTTAGGCTGTCATTAGGCATTCAGAAACTACTGGTTTCTGCCAGGAATAAAAAGGCTATTTCAAAACTGAAGATTATTTGGTTTTCAAATCAGACGTGGCACCATCCAGTTGAGATACTTTGGGGTAAGAGATTTACAAGCAAGTGAATTATTTAGTGGGCAAAAAACTCGCCAGCCTGGACTCCAAAATGAAGCAGGCACTTTAGAAAATGTTAATCCTTTTGACTGCCTTTAATTTTGTTAGAAAATCACATGCTAAATTAGCAACCTGCTGGCTCCAATACTGAGATTAGAGAGGGACAGCAAGTAGGATTTGGATGCTCTTCTTGAGTTAAACTTGTTTCATCATTCAAGGAATTTGTCCATGATTCCCAGATGTCCAAGGCCAGAGTATATCCTTGTCACAATCCAGTTGGATACAGCAGAACACAATCCAAGCTCCTGGTATAGTGCCAGCACGGCACAGTTTGTTGCTAGTGAAGCCTAATTTTTTTTTCTGTTTTTGGCTTCTTTAGTAATTATTTAGAGGGGCTTTAGTAATTCTTTAGAGGGGCCTCCATAGTAATTATTGAGCACAAATAATTTTAAAGAGCTTATCATTACTATTGGCCAATGACAGTATGATTATGCTATTTATATAATTTTTGAAACAAAAGATTCTCTGATTTGGGGAAGAACTTTTGCTTTAAAGTGACAGCAGATTAAACCAATACACAGACATAGAATTTGTAGCAAAGTCAGTATATTGCTTGTGGTCCCCTTAAAAGTAATCCAGTGGTCTTCAAGCTGAATAAAATGCAAATAAAGACTAAAATAGATGAAAAAAATTAATTCTCATAACAAGCTAACTTGTTCACATGTTCTCTACAAAACCACGTTTGATTCTCTACTTTCAGCCATTTAAGACCATGGTCTGAGGGGAAACCATAAACATTTGTGTTCTGGGAGAGGTTATGAAAAATCTCTGTTTGTCCTTACAAAGCTGAATCACTTCAGTTTCCTGCTATTAAGTTTCAGCAGAAAAAAGTTCTCTGGCTCGCTCTGAGCAGTCACCTAGGGATGTTTTTGTGAGAGGTAACATAAGCCACCCTAATAATGGAGAGTGACTCCCAGTGTTCCCTCTCCCATGTCTTGTCACTGAGGTGTGAGTGGAGCCAGCTTGGCCCCAGCAAATACACAAAGAAATCCACATCTTCAGGACAGCATCTCCCACGTCCTGGGAAACAGAGCTAAGATATGCTATGCTTTGGAAGTGACAGAAGAGGAAAAAAAGAGGAATAATAGAGACACTTGAACTGCTCAGTCTCAGGCTATTATTTAACTGCCCCAAGGTTTGATTGTTATTTTTACCCCTTTAGCACGTTGTTGTATAAGTTGTTTGGAGAAAAGAGGAAATCTGTGGCTTACATAAAGCATTCTGTTCCCTATTTTATTGCTGAAAGCTACTCAAGAGAAAGTGCTGACCTTAAAATGGGGCAAAAATATCAAGTGTGGCCTACTCAAAATCAGTGCCTTACATATACTGGGATCCTGCTCTGCCTGCTCTGCAAACTGTGCCATAAACACCAGTTACTGTCATGCATTAAAGGTTCAGTGAAGAGCCCAATCATCACCTTTGAATAAGAAACAAGTATAATAAATGATGTCTCAAATCTGTGTTAATGATCTGGCAGAGCTTTATGTTTGTAGGAATTATCCAAGTGCCAGGTGACATGATACTGACCATGGATGAGGAACACGACAGGCAGAAATACTGCCAAGAGACTGATCTGATTTCCTGACCTGGTGCCAAAAACTTCCACAGTGAATTGCAACTTCACTAAAAAATATGAAATAAAATGCAAATCAGGTACAGTAGTTCTGTTTTTAGTGAGTCAATCAAAAAAAAAAAAAGATTTAAAATGTCCTCATTAATGTTCCTGTGTGGAGAGACTTTGTATTTAATAGCTGCTTAGCTATTAAGCTTGCTAAAATAGTTTTGGGGAACTATTTAAATGTTTAACTTCTCGAGCTTTATAACAACAGCCATCTTCAGCTTTCTGTGATTCCTGAGTCCCTGAAACATTTTCAGTCAGTGTGGCTGACTCACTTCTGAAATCCCCTTAACATTTGGGTG